TGCAGCGCGTTGTCTGAAGGAATGCGCTGACATAATCCCCACGGGTACCCGTGAAATATTTTAGCCACGGGTACCCGTGGCCCTATTAGCTCCCGTAATGACCCCCCTGCTTACTGCATTCCTCGGCGCAATTAATCCATTTTTTCTTTGCTGTTAAACAGCCGTAATATCCGTCGGCTTGACAAGCCGGCTTTACTTCCACGGAAACCCACGCCGTACTTGCTAGTGAGAGGATCGCTGCACAGAGCATCCGCGTAATACGTCGAGTCATTTAGCGCCCGCCGACAGCAAGGTATAGACTCACATTCCGATTTTCTATTATTAATAATTACTAAGCTTGATAATACATAACGAAGTGAGGCTCAATTCGCGTGATCCGGTGAACAGTCTCCAAAGTGCATTTGTACATACCTGTGTAAATCCACTGCAGATCATGCAGCACCCCACCGCGTGGTCTGTTTCGGATGTGACGAGTGGCTTGTTGCTTGGCTAATCATCTATGAAATGGCTCTCTCGAGATAGTCCATCATCACACACGGCCAAAGATGGCATGCGCGCTAGCCCCCAATGAGACCCAAGGGCTGTCATCAGATCCGAGAGGTGCCAGATGCCTCTAGTTGCCCCCTGCTCAATTTTTTTCAAAGATTTTGAAGTTCTGCATATCGCAAGTAGACTAACTCTCAATTTAAAACAGCTAGTTCGTGTACAGGAGCTTTTTCAAACCTCAAGTGGCCACGCCGGCTTGCATTAGGTTGGTCGGCTCATTGAGGAGCGACTTTGTGTTGATTCCATGTCTCCCAAGATGAGACACATGAGGTCTCGGCGACGTCATATGGCTTTAGGCACTGTAGATCGTTCTGACCTTGCATGAGCTATCCTAAGACCAGTCACACACGGTCTTGACAAACGTCCTGACGCTCTACATACATGGAGACTTGCATAGGCTATCGATAGTAAAATGTATGAACGTCTAAGGCTTTCATGTTAAAGGGACAATAAGTAATGCTTTTGAAGACGTCATATTACGAACTGACTGGGTTCGGTTCTAGCAATAATGTGACATTATGTGTTGTCAGCTTTGCCATCGAGGACACGCACTGAGTCGAGACAGATTTACACTCGCTTACCAGCCAGAGCATCGAACTTGGTAGTTTGGCAATAAAAGAACTACGCTCACCAACCACATCCGCAAGTTCTGTGGAAAGCTTGATTATTATCAATACGTAGCCCAAATTGGACTACCCAATCACCATTTGCACCATGACAAATCTCCCCATCGACAACCCGCCTACTTTAAGTTCCCGTTCAGACGTTCCCAGTGACGAGGACATAGGGTTCAACGACCCCTGGAATATCGTATTTGTCAATATGGAGGCTGAGGGCCTTCCTGAACGATTCAAGGAACGTCAGACGGAGCTAGAGACGATGCTCCTGTTGACTCACCAGCTTGTCACCATTCACTGTGGTATTCAGGTAAAAAATAGAAAAGCAGAAGGGCAGCTGCCAGCCGATGGCAGCGGTGCATCTCAATGGGAACGCGCTGCATACCGAGTCAAGGTTTTGAAAACTTACTTCCAGAACGGCATTTACCCATGGTCCGGCGATGCTTGAACCAAGCGAGCGGCGTATATAGCTAACAATAATCCAGGCTTGTCTACTCCGGGCAACACAATACGGCTGAACAGATCGTTACGGAGAGAAACCAGTTTCACTGGCGATTGCTCGCAAACATGCTCAGTGGGATTACAGTTCCCCGACCGGTCGCGACGTCGCTCGAAGTTGTCTTCCAGAGAGTTTCTAGTACTATTAAAGAGACAGAAAACGCCCCTAGTAGCCAGCCCTTCTTGGGTCTGATTCAAGCCATTACATATGATGAAGTACGGGATAATTTACATGCCTGTAAGTACACACCATGGCCGATATATACAGGGACCGCTAATCTAACACAGAACTAATAAGCACTTCGGGGCATCATGTATTCTCTCGAGCAAGAAATGCGAAGTCTTGTCGAAAATAAAAACGCCCAATCGACAATCGCGACAGTATTCAGCCATGTCCAAGCTGACTATATATTTAATGAGCGGACTTGGGCTATGCTGCGGCCCGATGTTGAAAAGTATATAAACGAGACTGGAATTGTCAGCATCCCAGATCCACCCACGGTGCCAGTTTAACTGGCTCTCATTAGCAAAAACACGTCGATGGGTGGGACATGCAACTGGCTTGCGATTACGCCACCGACGAGGTATCCTGCATCGATCGATGTGCAGGGACAGAGTATTTCTACGAGATGGGGATGAATGCATGGTTCAATGAATTTGTTCTTTAAAAAAACAAAGTATAGTATTGCTCAATTGACCAGCTATTCAACTTGAAGTCTCTAAAGACGCGACTTGATCTTGTGAACATGATATGAAGCAGTGATCGGAATGGTCCGGTATGGTATGATATGGAGGTCAAACCATACCATACGGTGGCCAATACATCGCCTCCGAGAGGAATGAGGATGATCATGATCATAATGTGCAGTTGAAGACGTTTTGGGGAGCATTTAAGCTCCACCAGTAAGTTAGGGCTCAGTTTATATGAAGCATTCGCCGACAGCCACTGCTAACTCGCACTAATGACGTGGTCTTTGATGTCTTGTACTTTGCCACACTGTACAAGACATATAAAGCCGCCTCTGAAGCCAGAAAACATATCGATGTTGAGACATCATCTTCAATATCATATGTGAAAGGCAGTAAGTGGATGCAGACAGTTGACTGTTGTGTATCCAGACACTGACAGATAGCAGATGCTCATTTGCTACCGTTTGTTCAGCTATCAAATGTTCGACCCATATAGCAATGCTTCAGTGATCTCACCAAACTCGTTCACCATTCTCTATACCTTTTGAACTGCCTTGAAGAAGCCTTGACGACTACATCGCTCTTACAAAATTATCATCAGTACCTAGAATGGTATGATCAGCTACCAGAAGCCACGGCACTAGGCTACAACTCGATGCCTTTGGAGGAGGTCTCCCGGCCAGGTACATATCGCTTTCGAAGGTGTAAGGACCAGAAACCGTCACGCATTATACGGCGTGACGGCTGTCTTCAGAGATGAGGACAACCATCTCCGAAAGCTTGTCCTGGGCATTCTGGAGCTGGTGGAACGCAATCCGGCGATAACATCGCAGCTGAGATCCTTGACATCATTCGCTCGTTTGGTATCGAGGACAAGGTCGGTTACTTCACCCTCGACAATGCGGTGAACAACGATACGGCGATGCGCGATATTGCGTAAGAGCTGCACTTCGATCCGGTGAGACGGCGCGTTCAATGCGTTTGCCACATTCTCAATCTCGTCGTCAAGTCCCTTCTGTTCGGAAAAGATGTTGAGGCGTTTGAGGGTACCGCGCCAAGGGCGAAGCATTGGCAAGGGCAGCGCGCACGACACGTGGATGCGGAGAGGCCCCGTCGGCAAAGCTCACAACTTCGCCGTTGGGTCCATCGGTCGGACGTGCTGACGCAATTGCTTCGCCAAATCCAACAAGACTCGTATGCGGCAGCTGAAGACGGCGAGGTTGGAAAACAACGGCCAGTCGGCGTGGTCATTGACAACGATACCAAATGGATATCCCAATATTACATGATCAAACGACCGTTGCGACTACAGCCTTTTTACGATGAGTTTATAGTCAAATCAAAGAGAATTTTCCGAGATGACCGAAGGGGAGGGGCAGGCCGGCAGTTTCCTCCTTGCCTCGAGGAGTCAAATTTCCCCACTGAAGATTATTGGGCGGTGCTCAGGACTTTTAATGAGATCCTCTCGGACTTCCACGTGGTTGTTCAAGCGCTTCAGGGCGACGGGCAGCCGCGGTGTCGCGCTTCCGGCGTACGAGAGGCCTTCGGTTCGATGACTGACGTGCTAGGCATTTGAGTTCCTCCTAGGCAAGCTGGAGGACGCAAAGTCGCAGATTGAGACGCATCCCGCGCCGAAGCAATTTGGCATCAATATCAATCTTGGCTGGATGAAGCTCGATAAGTACTATAATACCTTGAGAGACTCACCGGTCTACTACGCCGCCGCTGCTTTGCATCCTGGGCTGCGGTGGACTTATCTTGACGAGATTTGGGGCCGGCATCATCCGGAATGGGTTGAAGAAGCAAAGCAACTCGTGCAGCAGCTCTAGAGCAATGAATACAGGAACCATGGACTCATCCAAACACTACGCTCATGGTTACGCGCAGGAATAACCAAGGATGTGGACAATATACTGCTGGGCAGGGTTGCATCAATGGGGCTTGGGGAGAATTGCTCAACGGAGGAGTTTTGTGGATAAGACGGGGTTGCGGGTTTCACGATGGCTTCGAAATTACTCAATTAGGAAACCGGCGTGGAGACGACAAGGGTGTTCAATATTATGGCCATCAACCCACGGAAAGGCTTCGTGGACTCAACCCACGACAGCGCTGCTGAGTACGCTGTCATTTCATCCAGGGCAAGCACTCGTGGACGTGGATGGATTGATTTCTCACCCTGTCGGCCAGAACCGACGCGGCTTGCCGCCCAAGGAGTTTACGCCCGGCAGCTTCCGCACATTGTGGCTGCGAAATCTAAAGTTGTTGGGCATAAAATATCGCTGCGCAATGGTTCTTGCCTTGAAAATATCAAGCCATCTAGACATTGGTTTGTTTCTTGCCAATGTAGTATATTCGCCGGACATCCTCAACACCGCTCAGCCTATGCGCATCCGACAATGTTCGCATGGTTCAAAACTCCCAAAGTACCAAGGGCGTGCCCTTGGCTGAAAGCTCTCGTGCTATTAGCACTACTCTTCTTAAAGAGGAAAAAACTTAGCCAATTATCGATATAATCACATAGAGTATCATGGAGATTTAGTAAAGCCCATTACCCAAGTTCACTCAGATGTGTAGGCACTGTATGATATTGTATAAACTTTGTTCATAAATTGAAGCCTCATATCTGCTAATGGCCGGCCGAGCTTAAACTCTAGTAGAGAACTCCATACAACGGCCAATGCGTGTATAGACTCCCGAGTGCTACCGTTACTACGGCTTGCAGCAAAGGGCTTTACTACCTGTAACACAGCAATTGCCATCTCCGCATGGATCTCTGCGCACCTCTCTCCAGCCGCTTTTGCATCTGCCTCTACAGAATGGAGCAGAACCTTCCCAGTAGCATGAATACACCACATTGCCGCCATCGTAGTCAGCAGTGCCTTCGTCGCTAGTAGTCGTATTCAGGCTCTCCGGGGGAGCCAAGTCAGATCCCAGCTCGCCTTCAAATTCAGTCAGCCTCTTGGTCGACTGTAAACGGTTGGGAGCACCTGTAACTCACCTGTGGCTGCGGCCATGGCCATAGCAGCGAGTCCAAGAAGAATGTAGAAGCGCATTGTGGTATATGATTGAGGAGGCAGTAGTCGAAGAAGATGTGGCTTGTAGATGAGATGTGTAAACACCAAACTGGTGAAAGGGAGAGTCTTATATAGATGGCTTAGCTGTATGTTTGGTCTTGAGTTTCTCCAAGTCCACTGTCTACTAGTCCGAAGTCTCGGTCGAGTGCCAATGGAGAAGAAACACGTATATTGCTCTGCCGAAAGAGACATGTCTCTAATGCGCGAGAACAAAATCTCAGAGATCATAGTTTTTCGCAGGGATATAGAAGCTTCATGACATAACCTTTGCGATCACCCGATACACGACTAGTGACGAACCCGTCTGCCTCCACAAAGTGGCCGAAACACATATTCGACCATAATACCGAGCATACATGATCAGTTTATCCACAGTTGAGCGAATGTCATATATTATGAATTGTCTATAAAACGCAGAATTGCTGCTTTGACTTCGAGAGCGACTTCCCATGTGTCTCAGGGTCACGGAGTGTCGGTATATGGCCACCCGCATGCCCCGTCATTCGCAAATCTTCATGGCATCTAAAGATACCGCCATATGGATATCGCACAGTGGTATTGTGACCTGATTCAGTGCAAGGGGATGATGCTGCAGAATATCAGCTACTAAAACATCGTTTCATGGACTAATACTAGCTACGCGTGCGACTAATGTCATCTGGTATCCTGCCATTAATGTAACAAAACAGACCGCCGGACCTTCTACATACGGCATAGCATTAAGCAAAATCTCATACCTTGACAACTGAATAAAATTGAATAATAAATATAGTAGATTACTTTAAACTATTTTTAGCACTAATATAAGTACTGATAGCTGTTAGAGGTAGGATTTCATCGCCAGGAAAATTGAATATTCTCAGCTTTACCAGCGTTCAGTTTTGTCACCCACTTACCCTCATCCCTCTACTCCTCGTCTTTCACGGCACGCAGTGTGCTATCCCGCATCAGCTGGAACATGCAGCAGCTGAAAATGATTCTAGGAAAGGAACGACATTACGGGAGAATCAGTTTGTACCCAGTATATTTACAAACTTGTTTCAATTGACTGATACTAGCTGCACTGGGTAGAGAATCATCTGATACCCGAAGCCGGATTGTGTTTTGGCGGCGCGAGATGTCGGTGAGCATTGACGGTTTTTGTGGCGTAAGAAGCGAAGCGAGAGTAAAAGGGACTATGGTCACGAAGTAACAAGCAATCATCGGTTGGTTTGGTGCTTCTTTTCTGTGATGCAGAAGGGAAGAGCCGCTCAAGTGGAGAGATCACCTTGCTACCGTGCCTCTAGTGTTGCAATGAACCTCTTTGTTTCCTGCCAGGAGAGACATTTGAGTCCAGCAAATATAGGAGACAAATTAAAGGAACGTAGGCGAGCTGGACGAAGCTGGATCCAGCTCGCTGGGCCATCGCCATTCCTTGCTTTACTCTACTTCGGAGCAGCAGAGCCAATACTGCTCGCCCGTCCTGGTCTGAATTCTTACGTATACTAATTATGCGCGTAGGGATTTCAACAGGACAGACCGAGCAAGCACTACCATGATAGCTGCTGCGATCCACTCAATATGTCCGCAGCGAATGGCTGACGTCGCAACTGTACTCACTAACAAAGTGGAGTCAGATCCAATAAGCTGCTACTAAAATTGCAGTGGATATTAGGGGATTATATACACGATAAACGGTTCAGTTACAAGCTGATAGTCAGCGTATCTCAGTTTCGCTCGCCCGGTGTGGTGGGCATGTTTTAAGCCCCATTGTGGCTCGTTGCAGCGGAGAAGCGCCGTTTCTTGCTACGAGCGGGAAGTTAGCAGTGTGGGTTGCTCAGTGTGCGGATTTATAGAACGTGTGGGCTACTTAGTGTGCTCCGCGACGTATCGCTTGATGAGAAGATGCGATCGACTAAGCCGTCGTTACGGCGCCGACTTATACGTATCAGTGCGCCGACAACATGGGCACTATGACTACTGCTCAACTAAGGATTGCCATTTTCCGACTCGCATCAACATAGTACGCTCGCTAAAGTTATTTTGATCGAAAACGAAGCTAATTGCTCTAGAAAATGGTCTATCCTCGAGCTATTAGGCGGACGCCCAAGGATTTTAGCCCTGAAACTCGGGAAAGTGGCACTGCCAGTTCATAGATTCAAGGGCAATACTGCGCGGCGAGGGAAAGAGGCTGCGTGATGCGAAAAAGAGCATAGCAAGCTATCATCCTTGCCCGCATGACACATTTAAAGTTGCATAGCTAAAACTCACAAAGCGATCAATCAAGCACTGCGGCCGTAGCTGCGGTATAACAGTTCAAGAATAGTCAAGTGCCATGACGCACCTGCTTAGATACTGACCACGAGCAGACAGAGTTGCTGGAGCTGCATGTTATTATAATATCGCCCTTTATTGATTCATCTATCTATTTATAAACTGCCCAGGGCGCCTAACGGCTGCTATGCAGCACGAATGATCTGTAGGCCTGAGACGATCATTCACTGGTGAGATAATTCTGCATCGGTGCCTATACCAGCAAGACGTCTTTGATTGTACCTGTTCACTAGCACAGGGCTTGAGATACAAGGCAAATTTACTAGTCAATCGGTGAGCAACGCTGCGACAACAGTGAGTGGTCAGAGGATTACCAGTAAGAAGCAGGCTCTTTCCAGCACTCTATCCCGGTCTTGAATGGTAAAAAGTGCTAGAAATCTGGCAGTATTGGTAAGAGACAGCCTCTTTCCAGCACTCTATCCCGGTCTTGACTGGTAAACAGTGCTGGAAATGCGGCAGTAATGGTAAGAGGCGAAGCAACCTTTTTCCAGCACGCCGCTTACCACAGTGCACTCCCTTGCAACTAAATGGCGACGACGGGCATTCAAGTGTGGCTTTATCTGGGTGTGATTCTGCTTGCCTAGTCTATATATGGCTTGGCCTAGACATTGTGATACATCAACTCACATGAAGAAGGCCAAGAGCTGACCAGCCACGTGTTCCACCAAAAGGACAATATGTCCCAAACCCATACGAACCTACTAACAATTTGCTATCATAGAGATGGAATAAATGTGGCTCTTCCGATTTCTTTGGAGGGGAATGGCGGGTTCACGACTAATTGTGTCTGCGACATGTATCATGCGCCCTTGGCCAGCCCTGGTGTCTTGCAGGGGGCTGTTGAGTCTAGGCCCACGTCAGGCGCTCGGAATGTGAGGTCCGCAGAGTCGAGACCGACGAGGCGCAACAGCTGCACCGGAATACAAATAACAATGATCGAGCATGGCCACGATGTTCTCACTCCAGAGGTGGGCAAACATTAAACTTTCAATCGATACATTTTTTCTTTTGAATTCGTCCCATCGACCGCCACTTACAGAAGTAAACGCATTGCTCTCCCAAGTTACCAGTACCTTTCATAGAGCTGTCAATCTAAACCTTGTCTCAATTTATGGAAACCGCACTGAAATGGGAAGGTGGGCCGTCAACCGATGATGTGCGAAAAATTCTGCAAAGCCTGCGCGATATGGACCAGCAATTGCGCAGGCAAATACTACAGCAGCAAGAAGCAATCACCAGCAGCCCCGTCGGAAATATCAGCCCCAAAATAGAGCAATCTATAGCCTCAACTGCACCAAAAGACCACGAATTTGAGAAATACGAGTCTGCAGGCTCCTGGGCAGCAAAGATGGCACGGAATACGCCATTGAAGCCGGAAGCTACACCAGAAACTGGTTGTTGAGAGGGGAATATCTGGTATTTGAAAGCTGATACTGTTTTGACGCCTTTGCATATCACATGTTAAAATATTGCAAAGCATGCGTTTTCACATTGAAGGGCAAGCAAAAAACCACTAACCAATTCGTTCAACGAACCCTGTCAAACATCGGCTTGCGTTGGTAACGTTCCATTCTCCTTGAAATATTTTGGTGTTCGCCTGATTGGCAGAGGATATATCGTATCCTACATATTCGGTTCAATATTTCTCTTATACGGAATTCCCATTGACAGAACATACCAAGTTAATACGAGTCGGAAAGCAACTGTCGTTCGTTGAGCAGTAGTTATAGTGTCGATATGCCGGCGCACTAGAATATAAAAGTCGGCCCGTTCGATTCGAAGCGAATCGAATGTGTAGGCACCATTCGATGGGACATCGACCGAATCGATCGATTCGTTGCTAATTTTAGCACGTATTTATTTTTCTTTGGGGGGGGAGGAGGGGGGCAAGTGACACACCCGCCTTCCCAGCTACATGCCGTGTGAAATCCATTCTTCACAAACCTGAACGACATGAAGGCGACTTTCGGGTTTGAATCTACTAACTAGCTATTTACAGAACAGAGAGGTGCAGTCAAATTACCGTCTACATCAACCTGTATTCTTTTCTCAATGAGCTATGACTCTACAGCACTCTTGAAAAATATGAATTTTGATTTGATTTTTTTTTATTTGATTTGATTATTTACGTCCGTTTGCGCCCTAGAGTAGACTTTAAGACGTGCTATCGAGCCTTCTACGGATAAATGTGCAGTCGTAACTACCCGCTAAATGGGCCGCCAACAGAGCGCGTAGCGCGCCCATGTTCTCACTAGTTGCCCCTGGAATACTCTCCCTGCCATCGTCCTCCAACTGTAGCAGTGTCGCGCCAGAAGGCATTTAACTGTCAAAATCGTTACCCGTCAGCGGGATCACGATGATGCTGGCGTTATGCACTCGCGGGTGCAACCACGGGCGCATCGCGCCAACAACCTTTGTCTCCTGGTCTTTGTACGGGAAGCACTGCTGTCGGTGGCGTATATCGCCGATCACAAAGGAAAAGTCTGAGTAAACACCAAGCAGCACAATTATCTCGCTTGACTCATCTCTTTACAGTACGAGTCTGATTTTCAATTTCTTGGGGTCTTTACAGCACGAGCCTTTGACTTTGATTTCTTCAGGCGGTTTAATCACGCGGACCACAGTAATCGCTGCATATCTGTTTAATTGAACTCAATGTTTCATAGAGCTTGGACAGCTGTGTATTTATGTCTCGCCAATTTGACTGTCAAGTGGTGCCAAGAGCCGTCACCCCCTTTAGGTGCTCGACTTAGATACCAGTCTACTGTACGCCAATCGGACATGGCTTGTCGCTCCATCGTTCATGGCCGATAATTTAGAGGAGCTCGACGCAGTTGACAGCTTGAACAACGATGAGACCCTAATCAAGTTGTCAGTATTTTGCGAAATGCAAGATCAAATTTCAAGACGTCGACTTACCGTATTACCACCGGTGTCGCAGCAGTAGGCTGACTGGCCGGAGTTGCAAGTGCCACTGGCAAGGACGTTGCAGAGAAGCTGACCAAGGATGGGTATGGCAGAATTGCAGCAAGTAACGTTTCCGGTTTTGCCTTTGACGTTGCAGCTGCCGGCTTCAGTGGGAGGGTTGGTAGGGGAGGCAACAACAGCGGCAGCCAGTGCAATAGTAGCAAGGGAGAACTTCATTTTGAAGGTGTAAGGAGGTATGTAAGTTGTGTTTTGGGGAGCTGGTATACTTTGAGATTGTAGAGTGAGTGGGTGATGGAAAGTTGGTATCATTGACGGAAACGCATGCTTTATATATTTTTCATGGCCCCTTGGAAGCCCGTCTTTCGCCTCTGCCCAAGTCATGGACGTCAGATAACAATCAGCCTAGGACAGAACTGATTGATACTTGTGCAAGCCATGTAACATAGACTCTTTGCTGGTATTGGTTGGCCAGGATGTCACGCCCCATCGACTCAGCTTCATCCGGTTGAAGGCTATTTGGTCCGCAGCTTGGAGCATCTCTCATGGTGCTGATCAGTTCACAAACGATGCGAGCTGAGGATTGAGTGGAGCCGTCATCTAGACCTTGTCCCATAAATCCTGATTTGTTGCCCAAGTTCAACGCCACTGGCAGAGATGCCGTTGCCAGGTTTTGCGTTGGACAACCGGCCTTTGGTTACGTACGAGATTGCACAGGATACTCCCGTCCCTCCCTTCCCCCTTCCTTCTCGTCTTTCCCCTTCCTCTTCCTCTTCTGTAACAGCAACATAAAGATGAAAGTCTGCACGCAGGTCTCGTGAGGCGGCATGTCAATCCTCGAGCGCACTCTGCCTTGGTCAAGCCACCGCCCCCAACTTGAGTAAGCAGCTTGACAAGTCCCAACCCTTCTTTGGTGATTGCCATGACAATAGATCTTGAATCTGGCTCCTCAATCCCCTTGCACGGAGTCGTCTTTCACGAATCGGCCACCGGAACGGACCATCGGCGGGAAAGGAGCTCAACGACTATATTAGGACTCGTACGCTTGCCATGTGGTAGGGGTGCCGTGTCCTCTTTTTCACGGAGACTCTTTGTAGAGCTAAGGCCGCTGACTGTCGTAGAGAATGCAACCTGCTCAGTCTAATAACGTCATTGTAGTCGAGCAGGAGGCGAAATCGCGAGTCAAGGCAGCTGCCTTGGTAAAGGAGTAAGCGGTAAGAGCCAAATCATTGCGCTCGCAAGAGCCTTGATCGAGTTCCAAATGACTGCCAGTGGCCTTCTGGCGTTTTCGGTACTGGTCGTCGTGCTGTGGCTGTTCGAAGTATCAGCAAAGCTGTCTCGACAAATTGGTGATCGCCACTGGATGTGGCTGCGGTGACTTTCCCTCACGCACACTCCACTTTCAAACCAAGGAAAGATGATCATGGCTAATGAGAGAAGGAAAAATCATGCCAGCTGTGATCAATCTGGGGTCGGAAGCAGGGCTCCACTAGCATCGTCAAGTACATACGCAACCTAAACGTTTTTGGCTGTGGCATTCGCGGCTCGTCGCCATTGACAGGAGAGTTGCGTCCGAGCTGCGCCGCCACCTCAGCTGACTGATTGCAGATTTGATCTGCACGTGGCGTTCAGTTTATTTGATGTTTGACGCAAAACTAGTACAGTCCTGTTCAGGTTCACCATCCATTAATTGCTACTTAAAAAAATCCAAATTGGGCAGGTGGAGCAGCTGCTGTTAGTCCATCTCAGTAGAATCAGGGCGCTAATCAAAATTTAGTATACATGCTGCCGGAGAATGGAGCATGACGGCGCGAGAGGATGGGCTACTGGCAGAGCTCTGCCCGCGCACCGCCCAGCCGCATGCAGATTGTCTCGCGCAGCTCCTGGAAAAGCGTCCAAGGCAGTAAATGACTAGGCTTGCATATGCTTGTTCGAGGCGTTCCGCAAGGCTTATCCAGCCCTGTGCACTCCCTAACATTGACAAGCTTACCGTGCTGAAGCACATTCACGCTGGATCAGACTGGCACGATTGAGTTTGGTGTTAAAGCGCGATGAAGGAACATGCAAGAGCGCATGAAAGAAGTTACACGCTTTCAGGAGGTGGAAGAAAGTAGAGAGGATGCAGCAGTCAGGGGCGACAGTTGGGATGCCTGCCTGCCTGAAGCCTCAGCGCCTACAGTCCAGGCGGTTCCCGCCCGGGTGCACTGCATTCATTGTGCCGATCATTCCTGATGTGGCTATAAACCCTATCGCGACGGTTGCTCCTCTCTTCTCAATGCATCTCTCCTGTCGCCTGACGAAACGTCCAATGACGGTCGAATAGTCCTATTGATGGCAGACCAAAGTGGCATTGGAAACCGACGAGCTCGGTAGCGTTCAACGCGCTCTCAGTCACAACGGCGTCTTGAGCCAATGCATCGTGCGACAGGCACCTCCATTCTTCGTCCCGTTTACTTGCGTGCGAGAACGAACACGGCAACGCGTCCCGACAAGATCGCGACCGGCTCTTGGCGCTTCTGCCCTGGGGACTTGGGTGCGGCAGGTCAGCATGTCCCTGAGAGGGAGCTCGACTTGCAGACTGGCTCTGGATCGCGGGCCTACTCTTACCGCCACTTGCCTTGCATCACCAGCGTTGCTGGGTCGGGCGATGTGAAGAATAGCCTGTCACTAAAGCAATCTTGAAGGAACTTACTATTAATACAATAATCATGTTTGGAGCTAGCTAGACTCGCTCAACTGGATCAACCACACGCAATCCACTTCATAGAATAGTCTGTAGAATTTCTACTGTTTCCAATTTTATCTTCTCTTTTTTAAACTTCATATCAGGCTCAGCTGCAGACTGGTAGAGCAACGTGTTTTCTGATTTCACCAGCTGTGAAAGGATCAGTCTAACGAGATGCAGCTAATTCACCGCGAGCTTACAACAACTCTGCCACGCCTGGAGCTTGAGAAATTCACCGACCGTGGCGGTGAAATGCAGCGTATTCAGCATGGGAGAGAGCGTTGCCTTTAGAGACTGCTAGCGAATCCTTCTAAAGCACCACAACGAATGATCGTCTCGCTGTGTTTCAATACCGCTCCCATTACGAAGGGCTGACATCTGCCACAACTGATGGTAGAATGGCTTTTGAATCCAGTAGCCAGTCTGGCGTCTCTTGAGCACAAAGTGCTCCCATTCATTCTGCAGCTTCAGAGAACCCCTTAATGCTGCCGGAGAGCGTTGGAACAACCGTCCCTTGCGTCGCTAGCAGTTCGCATGCCTCGAAGGCTTGTCTTGCGGCTACTGAAGTGCTTTATGAGAGTCGAAAGGTTTGTCGCAAAGTTGGCAGTGGGTCATTGCTTCAGATTGAATACTACTTTATATGAATGATTCAGATAACAAGTTGAAGGCGCAAAATGAGGGGCAATCACCTCACTACATGCAAGCTCAATTGACAATTGCGACGTTACGCTGAGCGGCACCAAAAACGCCACAGCACCGAACCAAGGCGGCTGTCGGCTGGTTAGCTAAGTTCTTGTCAGGTTGTGGTTATTGACTACTTTATCTCGGTTTGCGTGTCATTGATTCTGTCCCGCAGATGCAGTTGCGATATCTCTACAGCCTGCCTGCATGCGGCGATAACGCCTTTGGTCATACGTAGGCTTTGGTGGTACGCGCCAAGATCAGTGGCGACGACGTTAAGGACGCTTCGCGACTAAGCGATGCCGTCATTTAGTACAGGCTGTTAAGCTACATCACAGTGCCTAACAAAATTGTTCTCTGCCTGGTAAATGCGGTCGTGCAGCGCGGCTGCGGCGGCCGCATTTTGATCAAAGTGCTCCATCATTTCGGCCTTCAGTACCCCAAGTTCACGTCGCCGCGAAGAAACCGAACCGCGACAACTTTCAGCGTGCTGTGACCGTGATCCACAGCGAACTATGCCCGCCGACATTGATGTCACTACTGGTTGCGGTGAGAATGTATTCATCGCCTTGAGTATCGGCGATAACATCATGATAGTCTCGCTGAGCTGCGAGAGTACGCAGGGCAATAAAGACAGCGAAACGAGATAGAGAAAACAAGTTGGCATTTGTAAGTAGCTATGCAAATGTGAGCCGAAACGGTGGAAAGATCTCATCAATCAGAAACCCCAAGGTATTTCGATGACCGTCCGCGGGGTTCGAGTTTGCACACACTTGACCTCCTCACGTCGATAATTGGCGTCTCCGTTGGCTGCTTCTTAAGGGTGTACCGGGCGCATCGGCGAAACCCAAATTGTAGACGGGCTACCCCTTGATGGGAAAGGCACTGGCTTGTCAACGAATTTGATAACCCAGTGGCCATCGACCTCGATTCTCAGGGACCCATCTCCATCTGGAGTCATTATTTGGATGTTTGCGCATGATAACAGAAGTTGTGGTTTTGTTGTCGCAGCGCTTTCTCCATTCGTTGGAGTCGGCAATTCCACTTCTCGGGTCGCGCCAGTGGGTCGACAAGGGGCACCTTGAACGAAGATTTGGGAGTCGTGTGGTGCATCCTGGTTCGAAGGTTCGAATGTAACCTTCTTCTGCTTATTGAACCGTGTACGACGGAGTTGTCTTTCAGCACGAGCGGCGTATCTGGCTTCAAGATCTTCACATGCCGAGTTCTCTTCCGTTGCCGACCCATCATGGCTTACTGGACGTTGAAGTCTGTCCTGCGTTTTCCATTCTTTATTTGTGAATGCTCTGAGTATTCCATTCTCCGTAGTTCTGAAGGGGCTTGTTGCCTCTGCTGGTGTGCCGATACTCGTTGTCTCGTCGGCAGTGCCCTTGGTGGTTAGTAGTACGGTTTCTGTGCCGAAAGCCTTCCTAGGCCTTTTGATTGCCGTGTGTCCAGCCGTTGCTTTCCGTTTCCTTTTGTGGATGTCCGCGGTGCTGTAGCAGCCTGCAGT